ACCACCCACTAAATGTAAAAATCTTAACATCATTCAATTTTCTAAATTTTTTCTCCTTACAAGCTACTAAATGAAATTGGTATGCCAGGATTTCATTTTCTCAATTTTATCCATCCTTGCAAGCTATTTCATGATATTGTAAGGGCATTATTTCAGAGAAGATAATGATATTGTGAGGCCAATATTTTGAAGTTTTTGGCCTCCTTAGTTGAGCGGACACCTAACTTTTATATGATGAACCAAAACATAAAATATTAAAAATAAAGAGAAAAAAAAAACAAAAACCTAGATTTATATTATTTGGCTAAAGCAGCTTCCGTTTTAGGAAAGAAAAGAGGCTTCAATTCACTCACACATCTGCTAGTTCTCAGTGAAATTTGATTGTGTTGATCAATCGGATTGTACTGTTGCCTCGGACCTCAAGTCAATTTGTCATGCTCACTGGGGGGATCCTCCTCCTGCTTGGGTTCGGGTGCTTTGCACATGATTTTTTTTTTCTAAACAATGCTCCGGTGCCGTGTTTTCGAGCGGCCTGGTGTTGTGTTCTCAAACGCACCGATGCTGCAAAGTTTGCTGAGAGAAATGACAAAAACAGAGAGCCGTTGGGCTATGGGTTTGAGTGCCGCAGCATCATGATGACAGAGGCTTGAGTGCCGCAACGCTCCAAACTGGCACTGTGAGGTGTACTAGATAGTTTTTCTTTCTCGTTTTTCTTTAGGATGGCGTCCCTTGATATTATTAACTTTAACTTTCTCTTTTATTTTGAGTAGATAACGATGTAAGAGATAAGAGAAGCAAGGAGAGAGAGAGAAGAGAGATATGTACTTATTTCTCCCCATTTTCATAGTGAATTTCTTGGTGTGAGATAACTTCATTATTTTTTCCCGATTTCAGATTTTTCCACATTAAATCTTGGTGTCCTTTACTTTCCGCTATTTTTCTATTTTTCATATTTTTTTCGTTGCGATTTTTACTTCCATCCCCAACAACATTGATGATGACCTCAAAGAACTCTACAAGCAAAATTGATAAAGAAATCTTTCTCTAGCCATGGATGGAGAACCCTCAAGCTCTCTCAAAATCAAGTATTCTCTCCAATGCCAAAGCTCATTTCTTCATGCTGCCAAATCTCTTTAGAGAATCGAGAGCTTTCTCTGGTGGGGTCAAGTAACCGAGCAAAGGGTAAGCAGTAAATCATGAGGTATATTCTGTACAACTGTTGCATGCGAGAAACAATCCAAGGAAAAAAATTTCATGAGGCATTTCTAACAATTTAAAACCAAAATCAAGAGGCTTGATTGCCTTCGATTGAGTGAACTTCTCCTGAAGATGGTATATTCCAGGGGCACAGTAAGTGGTTAGATCACGTGTAATACTCTTCAGATCTAGTGCAAAATAATCCATTGATCAATACATCGTCTTAAACTTTAATACTTAACAATTCTACTATTTGAGTCAATTTTGTGACAATAATTTTGCTAGTGTTGGACAAGAAAAAGATAAATGAAGGTTAGCATACAAGTTGAAACCTTAAAAAAGTCAAATAAAATCCTAGACATCTGACAGTTGAAACAGCCCAAGTAAATGAGCAAATACTGAAGATCCACATAGATAATTCATCTTGCAAACCAGATCCTTGTTAAGAGGCTGTTAGGCTCCAAGTAGGATTTAGCTCATGTAGGATTTAATTGTCCTGTAAATCCAGATTTAATAAATCTTGCACAGGTTAAATCCTGAAAAACTATTTAGTAATAAAATATTAAGTTTTAATTAATGTTTGCTTGATTACAACCCTCTAATATTAAAAATTAAATAAATTATCAAAATTTATAAAAATAATCTAATAAATTGCCAATAATAAATCATCTGCCACACACCATAACACCCCCCATCCCCCATCATTCTCCTCCATCAGCTCCAAACAAATTCCTGAAATCCTCGGGGCAAAGTGAGGAAGTCTATTACGCCGGCTCCCTCTACAGATTGTAAAAATAAATCATCTGCCACTACCAATCAATAAAGAAATTATATAAAGCGATAAAATCAAAGCATCAATAAAGATTGTAAAAATCATATAAATATCGTAAAACTCTATAATAATATACACATGATATCATGTTATTTTATATCAGTATCTTAATCATGCTCAGTATATCACGTGTTTAGTATGTCACATGCTCAATATCAATACAGTGTCATCAATAAAATTGGTAGCAGTAACAATAAAGCAATGCAGTAACAATAAAATAATGTAATAACAGTAAATTAGTATAATAATTATAAGGTTGTATAATAATTAGTGCAATAACAGTAAATATAATTTATTTAATTTTTAATATAAAATTCAAAATAAATTCTCTTATATTTTCAAATTTGAAGCAAAAAAAAAGTCAAAAATATTCATAAAATAACCATTATTTTTTGAAAATTTTGATAAAATCAGTTTGCGAAACGACACCTAACCATTTCAAACCACTGCTTGTACCGATAGATATCAATTTCTATACTAAGAATTTATGCCAATGTCAAAAAATTAGGGAAAAAAATATTATAACTAGAGCACAATAATAATCATGTTTTAGAGAAGAAGATTTATAATTTGGACTTATAATGACTCATGAAAAAATTTAATCCACTAGGTCAAAATATAGGTTATCACAAACACAACCCACCCCTTTTAAGATTCTCTGTGGGAGAGATCCACCTCATTTGGGACATAAAACTACATCGGTATCCAATGCAAATTAATACTTAGAGGAGAGGGACAAAGTATTATCTGAGCTCAAGGGACATTTGTTGACAGCCCAGCAGATCATGAAAAAGAAGGCTGATGATCACAGAAGATATGTGCTCTTTGAACCAGGAGACACGGTTTACTTAAATCTGAGATCCTAGAGGCACAAAATACTAGTTAGAAGGAGGAATGAGAAATTGTCCCCATAATACTTTGGGCCTTAACATAATGGAGTAGTGGTCTATCGAGTAAGGCTACCACCATCATCATCAGTGCACCTGGTAGTTCATGTCTCACAGTTGAGGAATATGATAGAAGAGCACACACTATCTTCATTACCCCTAAGTTTGATAGAAGACGTGGAGGTCATTTTGGAACCACTAGAAGTAGAAGGGATGCGGGGAGGAGAGATAGGGGTACATGAGGTGCAAATTAAGTGGAAGAATTAGTTGAAGCATGATGCTACATGGTTACGCCAACTCCCTCTACGGGCAAGAGCCATCTGCTTGGTTTAGATGAACCAAACCAATCCTGGTTCAGAAGAACCAAACCCAACAGAAAAGCTAGGAAGAAACATGGAGGGGATTTCGAACCCTCTTGTGGGGGCCAAGAGAGTTATAATTCAATATGGAAGGAGGAGAAATAGAGGGAGAGAAATTTAGGAAGGTTTTAATTAAAATCGTGAGGGAATTATTTGGAGAAATAGATCCAAATTGAATTCAAATGTGGAGAGGGAATCATTTGTGGAAAGTAGGCTGATTTTAGCAGGAATTAGGGGAGCCTATTTAAGACTAATTATGTTGTATTTTAAGTTTATACAAATTATTTCTACTGTAGCTTTTCTATTGGTGAGATTCCTAGCGGTGTCTAGGGTTTGTAAGAGAGCCGATCAACCTCTCAAATATTATTGAAGTATTAATCAAATTCCATTGCTATCTTCAAATTCTTCCAATTTTCTACTTGTTATAGCTGTTACTTCCAAAATGCATCAAAGTCACGATGGGAGCTTAGTAGATGAAATACTCAACTGGTCCAACTCAGCTAAACCGGACACCTAAGCAGGCAAGCAAAACCAAATTGGGCCGACCAGTCGCGCGGGCCACACGCGGACGCGAAAGTGGCTGGGAAGGTCGAATAGCGTGTTTTTGTGAGGAATCCAATGCGGGAGTGAAAAACAGCGACTCCTCACGGGAGATAACTTTTTGCTCACTCCAATGAACCAAACAATCGAAGGAAAATTCTGAACAAGCGGAAGAAATGATGGAGAAGAAAGAAAAGGAAATTTTGGAGAAGAGAAAAAGAAAACGGATAAGGAATATGAAGATAGTGCTTGTAAAATGTTTATATTCTTTCTTCATTAATAAAATAGGTAAGTAAATTATTTCCTTATTTTATTATTGCTTTGGTGAAGAATAAATTATGGGCAAAGAGTAATTGGAAGGAAGGTCGCCGAGGTATTTTGATTTAGTTTTAATTTAAAATAAGAATAGTTAACTTTCAATAATTTTAGAAATTAACCGGCAGTCGATGAAAATTCTTGTATAAGATATATTTGTTTATTTAATTTAGCGAAGTTGAATGCAGGAAAGAAGAAAAAGGAAGAGTGTTCAACTACTTTAGTGAAAGATAAGTTATTTTATTTTTATTTTATTTTATAAATGGAGGAATAAAATGGCTGAAAAAGATGAATATATTTACAGAAGAAAACGATCGAATGAAAACAGGTAAAAATCTAATTAATGTATATGTTCAAATTTGTAATTAGCTTTTCAATTTTATGGGGGATGTTAGTTGTTAAATGTTTATGTATTTGAAAGAAATGAATTTAGTGTCCGACCGTCCGTTCATATCTCGTTAATTCAAGTATACGGGCTGGATCGTGACAGTAGATATGGCATTGATAGGATCAATGATATGTGAAGGAAAAGAGGAGTCCGTAAACTCCGCATATTTAAGTTAAAATTGGTTAAATACCCAGATTTAGTAAATCAGGGATTTAGGTTAAAATAGGTGGGAGAAATAAAATTTAACATTTTGGAAGATTTAAGTTCTCTTCTTTTACTGTTTAGCAAGATTTGCTTTCAATCTTGCTTAAGTCATGCTCAAAATTTGAATAAAAAATCTATCATTTTCTATTTAAATGTCCCTAAAATAGTTGACATTATAAAGCATTGCAACAGAAAGAAAAGGAAGTTTTACCACCTAAAAAATCAGCAATATGCTCTAGTACATCCCCATTTTACAAAAAAAGAAGCCTAAAGATTACCTTCTGATCTTGAAGAGGAGTACCCTTGACTGCAACCAACGCATTAATGGGAACACTCTCAGGATGGTTAGGAAGGGTTGCCAGTGTATGCAATAAACCCACGCGATCTTCTTCTGCTTCACCGAGACCAATAATTCCTCCTGAATTTAAGATAACAGGCAGCATTTCATTTCATAATATATAAACAACGGACCTTTTGGTAGGATTTCTGCAATTTCAAAAGATAAATAGATTCCTTTAACGGCAAGATCATCTCAGAACCTAAGTCTAAGCAATCACAAAACTGAATTTAGTAATGGTATAGAGCAGCATGTTCTCTAATGGGCCAGTACAGTAATTACATGGCATAAAGTGCAACGAAGTTATTGATACTAAAATAGGCCCCAAAAGAAATTCCATCAACTATTCTTTGCGTCAAAAACTACTACAAATTTGCAGTAAATTAAAGAAAATAAATTACCTGAGCAGACACTAATTCCTGCCTCACGGACATATTGAAGCGTTTCCAACCTTTCATCATATGTTCTGGTGGTTATTATATTTGGATAGTGCTCTCTTGAAGTATCAAGATTATGATTATATGCAGTAAGGCCAGCCTTCTTAAGCTCTAACGCTTGCTGCTTCTCAAGCATACCCAGTGTGCAGCAAACTTCCATTCCCATGTCCCTGAAGCATTGGTTACAATAGCAAATTACATAAAAAGCAATTTAGCATAAAAAAATCGGGCATTGGAAGAGAGTAAAACGAGAATAAACGGTAGACAAAGAAAAGCTGAATGCATTGTGCTTTTGATATGAGAAAAGACTTATAAATAGTATCAGTCCAGTAATGATGTAAAGCTTGGATATTGTTTTTGACCAAAATCCAAGTGAATAAGAGGTATATAACTTTCAAAAAGAAGAATGAGTGATGTGTTTAAAGAAGTTCAACCAGAAGAGATAGATGAGAAAAAAGAGCGCTGAGAAGATTTAGCTGCTTGCATTAAAAAAAAGGAACCAAACGCTAAAGTGCTTAATATTCAGAAGCATGGTGCAACAGAAACATGAAGCAGTGGTTCTACAAGATGAAGACACTGATAGCCTTGAACCATCACCCTGCCACAGGCCCAAATCTTGGTAGAAATGTTAAAGCACAGACTACAAAAATCCTGATAAGATTTAATGCAAGAGATTTTGCATAACATGTGTCCATTCAACAGTAAGGGACTGTAAAAGGGTAAATGTTGAAATATTATGGCTTTTTTTGTTTTGTGTGCGGACAATTGCTAAATGTATTTTATTAGAGACCAAAGTTCTTGTTCTTGTTGATGATATGATTGATATAAAATTTATCCTGATATTGTAGTCTAAGACATGCTTACACTCCAATAATAATCCTTCTTGGTAGTGATTCTTATGAAATTCCGGATGATATTATTATTTTTACTGCACTTGGCAGAGATGGTAAGAAAATTTTGATTGGTTCTACCAAGGGGTGTAAACAAGTCAAGTAGCGCACGAGTCATGCCTAACTCGAGCTAAACCTGCTGGCCAAATCATGAGCTCAGAGCGATGTGGTAAAAACGAGCTCGCAAGTAACTCGTGAGATCCCATCAAAGAGGACTATCGCTTATCACGTATTCGCCTGTGTCTGAGAAGAAAGGTTGTGTGGTTGTTGCATGAGAAGAGCAGAAATAGTTTTGTTTTTTATTTAGGGAATAGCAATAGTATTTTTTCCCTTATTCAATGCTGCATTTTATTTTCCCAACAAACTGTTGTACTTCACTGTCACTGCATTTTATTAATGCTTGGCCGCCTTATAATTATTTGTTTTCAAATACAGCTGTACGTTTCTTGGAAAGCATCATTTATTCTTTTTGGGGTTTATGTATGTTTTTTGTTTAGAGAAAAAAGATTTAGTTAATTAAAAAAAAATCAGTTATATTATTAAGAACCCTCACGTGAGCCGAGTCTCTTCAAGCTCGAACTCGTGCTCAATAAGCTCGACTTGTAAGCTCGTTAAGGAGCCGAACTCGAGCCGGCTTGGCTCACTTACACCCCTAGTTCTACCTCTCCTAATCTCAGTAGGGGAAACAGACTAAGGCCTTCATGATAAGTCTGTTAATTCTCTTGAGGTTAATTTTTTAATATATCGAGGAACGATTAATAAACAGCTCATAATATAGATAAAGAAAGAAATCGTTCTTCTGATTCTACCTTCTCCAGCTTGGGGGGGGGGACAAGTCACAGTCTTGTGGGCTCCGAAAATTCGGCCCCGGGCTCCCCGCCGCGCTAATTGTTTGCTTTTATTTGGCGAGAGGAGTTTTAACGGAATAAGTTCCGAGGAGAATTTTGGAAGGCAGGTGGGTTTATAGATAAGACACTACCCAAAGATTTCACCCTCATTTTGTGAGGACTTTATGATCTGAGTTCTGGTTTCCTATAGGCGCAAGCCCCTATAGTTAATTACCCCTCCCGATCACGAGAGAGAACTTTCGATTAAGGCTAGTCGTCAATCAGATACGTAGAGATATGTGTTATCTGGCATATAGTAGCAGCATGGATTTGCATTTGAAGATTGGATATTGGAAGTTTGAAGATTTTGGAGGATTTGATATTTAAAATAAAAATTGCACCATCTTACACTTAAAGCGGATGGTGGGGGAATGGATGATAGACCCGATCAAGATCCCATGGTTCCGTTGTCCCGGGCCACCGTGGTCCCTGATCTACTTAGTCAGAGGAGGTAGTCGACCCAACCTGACAGAAGAATCCTTGTCGGCAACTATGGGTTGCTTCGTCCAAGGGTACCTTATAGACCTGGGGTGAGTATTTGCCTAAAGGGACAACTTGTAACCCACCTTAGCTAACAAAGGGCTTGTGCCCTATCGATCATATCCTATTGATTCATATCTCAAGAATTTAATGCCAACAAGGAACGTATTGACTCTGGCCATAACCAATATTTCGTGGTGCCATTTGGCGGCAAAACCACTCGGTTCAGAGGGCCCCGGGTCATAACCGTTTATCCTGCGGTGCCATTTGACAGCAAAACCGTCGGTTAGAGAACGCGTACCATGTCCTTACTGGCAGAAGATTGTTTGAGAATAGATCATAGTGATATTTTCGACTAGGCATATGGCTCTTTGTGAGCTGAAGTTATATTTGAATATGTCCACCTCGGCAAACTGATGCGGAAGATCGATGGATTTTGCTTTAAGCGTTCAATGGTTTGATTTTCAATTTTAAACATTTTTTGGATTTTCGAATTTTGGGATTTTTGTAGAGTTTTGGATTTGATGGGCATTCGAATATTTGGGAGACATTTGGAAATGTTTGTGAATCCCTCCGGTTGAGATAAACATTCAGCACGACAATCATCGAGGTGTTTGGGATCATTTCCATTTGTTTGAACCTTGTCGACCCTATCAACATGCCGATAGGGGATCGGGTTTCATAGTCTTTGTGTCATTGTTTGTGAATTTCTTTGTTAAAGGCCTTAAAGACGTAATATGAATGTATAAAATAAATATTCCAGTCAACTTCGTGACCGCATATTTATCCGATGTTTCGAACCTTGTCTACTCCTATTTACCTGCTTAGGAGGATCGGGTTTCGAAGGCTTTATGACTTTATTAGTAAGTTCTCTTTATTATAGACCTTGACGGTCTAATATGGATGTATTAAGACAAATATACCGGTCGCCGCAATCGTATATTTGTTCAATGGTTCGAACCCTATCGACTCCTATTGATCCGTATAAGAGGATCGGGTTCGAACCTGAATTCACTTATTGACCCGCGCAACATCCCTAGATGTCACATGTATACCGATAACACGCTCGTCGAGGCCCATGCGGGTTTTATGATTGCTTTTACCCCTTTCAGTGTACCTATGTGTACACAATTTATAGTGCACGTGCAAGGGTATTTTATCATATTTTGGTTGTGCGGATAATTGAGGTTTGAATGCACATCATTTCATTTGAGAGCCTATACACGCCTTATGTCCTATAGTATGAGTATTGCGGATCCGGTGGCGGGAAGGTCTTGATGTTGACTCCTCCTTTCTCATTCACCGGGGATGGACTTCTTTGAAGTTTGTGACCACTGCTTTGGAACGAACTTCTTTCAGGGTCTTTAGTGTGTTAGGCTTGTTATTTCTGATGTTTGTGGATACCAGAATTATTTCCTTCCTGAGTACAGGATCAAGAAGGAATTTTGAGACACCAAGAAGTTTAGTTCGAATTTGCTCAAACATCTCTTCCATTCTACCAGGAGGTGTCCTTTTCCATACATCGAATTGCCCTTGTACCCGACGTACTTGAAGATCTTGATCACCATTTTCATATGTGATATATGTACATGTGCCCACAGTGGTTCGTTGTACTTACGATATACTCACTGTTGTTATCCACAAGCATTCATTTGCAGGGGACCGTTGTATCCACTATGAGCTCCTAGGAGTATTAGTAAAAGAGCCATTTACATCAGTATCATATCCACCTGTCACCAATCTCAGGTGATAGTTTCGATGTATTTACTTGTAGGGAAAGGTCTTTGATTGCTACATATGGGTAATACTCGTACACATTGCAATTGTATATTGCTGCTTACAAGTACATTGCATTGACTTTGTAGGGATTGTTGTAGGAGTTTGTTGCATTATGCTAATACATGTTTGTTATGTATTGCAAATTCTTCATATTTGTTCACAGACATGTGTCGAATGTACGGCAGACCTCCTACAAAGAATCGTAGGTACTTGCACTTGGCATAGTCACTTTGTATCTTGCTTGTGGAGAATAGATGCACTTGTGTCCATAGAGGATTTACTACACTTACTATGTATCCACTATTGTTATCCATAAGTAATTTCAGTGGTCGTCGTAGAAGACAGATGAATCCATATGTTTGTTGACCTTTATTGCTTGTAGGACTCAGTACATTTAGTTGCATCTTGAACGTGTGTTTGTAACAGATGTTCATGATTGCTTGCATGTAGATTAACCATAATATTGAGTGTCACAAATCTTCTATTTTATCAACTAGAGGAAGAAAAGTGAGGCTTGAATAATAAAGGATCCTTTATTTTGATTGTTTAAGCCTCTCGCGATCTGACCTGAGTTCAAGTCATTTGTCACTTACATCCGTTGAGTTTGACTTTACATTCAAGACATGATTCATTGAGCTTCAAGCTCTAGTAATCTTGAAAGTCCAATCTCTTATCACATTAGTTAGAGTTTAAATTAAGTCTTTTATTTGCATTTGTCCTAGTTTTGAGTCCAAGTATAGTTCAGACTCAAAATGAGCATCTTCCATCTGTCCGAGTCCCCTGAAGCCACATTGAGTTTACTCGGATTTGAGTCAAAGGCTTACAAGTTCAAGTGCACATGTATAATTATATATTACCACTAAGTATATATTACCACTAAGTATATTACCACTAAGTATAATTATATATTACC